GAAAAGAGGAAGGCCAAAGAACACACTACGCGGGGAAATAGAAGTCGATATGAAAAGGATGAATAGCAACTGGAAAGGAAGGCTCAGGACAGAGTTGGATGGAGAATGCTGGTGAGCGGCCTATGCTCCTCGACGAGGGGTAACAGGCGTAAGTAAGTAAGTAAGTAAGTAAGATTAAATCCATCTCGTTTCCTAGTAACAAAGTTGTCATTAGCACATCTTAAATGAATTCTTGTCATTATTAATATGATAATTTTATTACTTATGTTACATAATAACTACTATCAATTTCATTATTTTAACTGTAGAATCACAGTTACCCAGTAGCTGTGATGCGCGTACATGTGTGTCATTTTCACAACATAAGAAGTTGCGCAGTTTTTTAGTTGCCCACGCTACCCCTTACCGTAAGGAAAATACATGTTTTTTCAACATGACCACCGCACATCGTATCGGAGATCACACAAAGAAGCACCCCTATCCGGGTACTTTAAGAACCGACCAGACTACTACCCACATTCCAATCGTCTACGGCATCCAAGAGGAAGAGCCCAGCCACTCCTGAGACTCAGCATAGGTAGCAGAGCTACGCGCTAGCTAACTGTCATAGCATACGACAGCCCATAGTCCTCAGAGTCTTTACGAAACAAATCGAATCGCTGAAGAATCCAAATAAAGCTAGAGGATGGATCCAGCCACGGGAGAAGACTCTCGAACGTACACGTTATCATGAGGGTAACTACTATACCCTGGTTTAGCATCCAAACCATACCATCCCGGTAGACCAATGCAGATGGGTAGAAGTCAGATGTAGCCCTACTACATATTCCTACGACAAGCACTACCCGTATACATAACAGCTACACTTGAGACTCTTTTTCGTTACAGAGCATCGACGGCATTTAGCTGCAGCATTACTACGTGATCACATGCCTGGAAAGAACGACGAAGACATAGATGCTACAGCTACTATCACCCTCTAAAGAACTAAGCACCGTAAACCAGATGTCCAGAGTTCTAATAAGTGCATAGGTCCCCTTGAGGATCAGGGGTTCAAGGTATGTATAAACTCTGAAATCCATCGACCTTAAGGACCAGCACCGAGAAACCCTAGATAACGAGGCAGTTGTCTACCTTAAGAGAGTTATAGTTACTCCTTTAGTTAATAATTTATGAATTGTTCTTTTTCCTCCATTCTACCCTTTACGGAGGACTTCGCAGATGACCTAGCCTTTTATCTCATACACACGAACAAATACAGACGAAGACAACTAATGTTGCAGCAGCTGCCTCTACATCAATAGGCCTCAACATACGCAAACGAAAAAGCAAGACTCTCAAATACAACACGGAGAACGCCAAGCCAATTACACTTGATGGCGAAACTCTGGAAGATATAGAAACATTCACGCACCTGGGAAGTATCATTGATGCACAAGGAGGATCTTATGCAGATGTAAAGACAAGGATTGGCAAAGCAAAGACTGCATTTCCAGAGTTGAAGAACATCTGGAACTTAAAACAACTGTCAACTAATTTCAAAATGAGAATCTTCAATTCGAATGTCAAGACAGTTCTAATGTACGGAGCTGGAACGTGGAGAACCACTACATCCATTGTCAAGAAGGTACAAGTATTTATAAACAGTTGTCTTCGCAAAATACTCAACATTCACTGCCCGGATATTATAAGCAACAGCCTTCTGTGGAAGAGGAAAAACCAGCTTCCAGCTGAAGAGGAAATTAGGAAAAGACGTTGGAAGTGGATCGGACAAACATTAAGGAGATCACCAAACTGCATCATGAGGCAAGCTCTAACTTGGAATTCGGAAAGGAAGCGAGAAAGAGGAAGGCCAAAGAACACATTACTTTGGGAAATAGAAGCAGATATGAAAAGGATGAATAACAACTGGAAAGAACTGGAAAGGATTTCACAGGACACGGTTGGATGGAAAATGGTGGTATGCTGCCTATGCTCCTCGACGAGGGGTAACAGGCGTAAGTAAGTACTCATTAAGGAATTGTTATGCGTTTGGTTGGGATGCACTACATAAAACTGAGTTCGAAATTTGATTTTACACATCCAATTTCCTTCGTACCATTCTATATAAATGTGCTCCAGCAAAAGTAGTCAATTTAAATTTAGTTCCAAATTTTACATTTCGGTATAATACTACAAATTAAGAAATTTTTAAATATTTTTGTGTAACTCAATATGTAACTAATGTGTTCTTTATATTCTAAGCAAATCAGAGGTAAAATGATATACTATATATATTTCATTTTATTACTTTAATTATTATCATTGTTAAACATACTACTTATAATATCAAATTTTAAAATCAGAGTTCTACTGGTATTAATTAAAACTCATATTACCAAATTAAACAACTACCACCCTAGTAAAAAAAATACTCAAATTTAAAATTTTTTTTAATATTCATGAAAAAATCACGTAATGAATAACATTGATTATGGGTTTATTATCCAGTATTTTTGGGGGGGTTGGGATAGGGGTGTAAGGGGATGGTAGTAACTGAAATAAATAGGTCACGCCTAAATAAAAAAACATGTACTGAATAGGATATAATACTTTGTTTGATAATCAACGTAAGCTTTTTTAAAAATCATAACGAGGACAATTTTAATAACTTTATTTTTTTGTAGTTTTGATTCATTTTTGTATTGTTTGTTTGAATATTTTCATGAATGTTTAGGACTGAAATTGGTCAGTCTCTTGTTGGCATATTTTTATCCTGTGCGAACTGCCTCAATATTATCTTAAGTCACAAGCATCATAAGCAAAGATGGATCGTGGCTACCAATAGAATCCAGGACGCGCGTTTCGTCCAATTAGGGATGGTACTCGAACCTAGTATCATTCGCTTCAAATGCCATCCACTTGATTACTGAGTCCAGAAAGCCAGTTGCTTGTGCAGTGGAGCGAAGGGAACGATACTGGGTTTGAGTCTAAGAGTGAACATCAAATCTAGTATGGAGATGCATTCAGCTTTAGAGTTCCAAACAGGATAAGACGTGAGTCTTAGACCTTGTTTTTAGACATCATCCATCCTAGCTTAATAACGATGGCCATCTCTTCGATATAAAGTTTGACTAGTCGACAGTATACTAGGACACATTCAACTCAGTTGCCCAAGTTGCAACTAATATTCGTCCAGCATGATTTCAGCATATCAATATAATATCAAGTAGATGATAACTTGAAAACCATTATTTACCTTAAAAGTCTCACCAACCAAGATACTTTGAAGTGCCCTTACACATCCATCAGATATAAAGACCTTCAAAGACTATTCTCGATATTGATCCGAAAAATATAATCATAAAAGAAGTGAAACTACAAGTAATACTGAAGAATTCTCATAAACATTGCGCTAACAATATGCCAAGGTTAACATGAAAAGTCAATCTCCTATGTTTTATACATCTCACTTTCAATCCCATACAACAACTACAAGTTAACCAGTTTGACAACATTCTTCATTATAATCCTTTGATTCCACACTAACTATTGTAAAATCACTGTAATTCTATGCTTGGAACCATTTCATATCATGTCTCTTAGTCTAAATTGGCTTTCTTTACCACACAATGTAAGCATAACAGCATTATTCTACCGAGTGATACATTTAAGTAATGAATTTCTCTTTTACAAGTAGGTTTATAGAAAAATAACCAGTTAAATTAGATTCTATTGTAAAATAAATGTTGCAAAACCTGATGAATTCGAATCAAATTATCAGGGATATGGAATTACTTTCTATCAGTCATTAATAATACGAAATGGAACAGGGTCTAATATCCTCAAAAAATAATTCTTTTTATTACTGATAAATTTTTGACGTTTGATTAAAATTTTAGAGCTTAAGTGATAAATTTAAGTCCCAGAAGGAGAACTCGTATTCAGGTTCTAATAGCGTCCTAAACTACATTACCATCGACTGCGAAATGTAGGACAGTGTTTTCGCCTCAGTGCATTTAGTCATTCAAAGCACTTGATTGGAGTGAATTTCTAATTGAGGTCAGACACTATGTTTTGAAGTAACTTTAAAAGGGAACCGTTTATATTTCAACCACTAAGAAGTATATATATATATATATATTTATTTATATATTCATTTCACGTGGCACTTCTTACTTACTTACTTACGCCTGTTGCCCTTCGTAGAGGAGCATAGGCCGCCCACCAGTTCCGGTTAGCATTTCTTCAGCGAGTTAGTTTACTACATGATGGACTCGCTAACCCCCCGCACCACCCTCCTCCTTTACACGGGCTTGGGACCGGCAGTAACTCTATAAGAGCTACAGGCGGAGTTGCGTGGCAGTGCATTCTTTGTATATTTCACCTCTTAAATGCAAACCGATTACATAGTTGTGCAAAACTGACCGGATTTTATGTCTTTATCTGGTGAGTATCACAATTATTCCTGTTACTCAGAGCCTATACATATCAGTGAAGCTCTTAATTTTCGTGTAAGTTTAAGTACTTTGTTTCTGTTTGCCATGAGAAATTATCAAACACTTGTTCGAAATTCAACCTTAATCTTTTATAGAAAAACTCATTTTTCAAACCAAGTATTTCACTAAATGGACAACTTTTGGTTGGTGAAGCACAACATAATAATGTGATCACACTATCGAACTAGATAAACAAGCCTCCATCAGTTAAATACAATTACATTCACTTGCATCGGTATATTCGTCTTCACTTCTCATCTAACCAAGTCCTATACTATACTGAAGTATAAACATTTTAAGATTGATCAAGCAACTACTATGTTTTATGTAAACCCCATGGTCTGGCATACTGGCATACTAATAAACAGTTATTATGATAATTTTGTATTATCAAAAGTTATTTCACTGCTCATTCAGTTGGTTTGTATTCAAAGAATGATCCCGAAAATGAACATCATAAATATCTTATGAGAAATGAAGTTAGAATAGGTATTTAATGTTGTTTTATTATTCACATTTTAGGAAGGTAAATGTCAACATATTAAATCAACATCATTAACCTATTCAAAATCAATTATAGAGATTAAACTCAATGATGAAGAACAGTTGAAATATGTTTTATATGAACATGGACCAGTTTCAGCTGGTATAAACGTAGAGCAACAATTTATGAGATACAAGTAAGTCTTTGCAGGCTATCAAATATTTTTATATAGCTAAATAGAATTAGAAAAAATGGTTAGCAAATCTTGGATGAACCTAAGCAATGTACACAAAGAATCAATGGACAATCATTGAATTAATTTTATTATTGTTGTTTTACCTTTAGTGGATTAGTATATTCGTAAAATATTACAGAATCATAAAAAGGCAAAGAGTTTTATAAACAAACTGACTAATAACATGTGAAGATATATAAGAACACTAAATATTATCATTTGGAGACTGAGACAATGGTGACTAACCATTATTATCCGCTTGACAATATATTCGAAGCAATTTAGGTTTAATGACTTAAACTCACTTATTTTGGAAGTCTGATCAGCCCTAATTGGTTGGTCTCTGATGAAATCTCTGCACGGATTCAAAAAGCTTGTTTGGCTTTTGCTAATTTATGTCACCTATGACGAAGACGAGATATCCATCTATCAATAAAAGGACGAGTATACTGCTAGGCAGTTCGCGCTGTTCTACTTTACGGCTGTGAAACTTGGCCATTAAGAGTAGAAGATACTAGTAAGCTACTAGTATTTGATCACAGATGTCTTGGAAATATTGCTCGTATCTGCTGTGATCACAACGTAAGTAATAGTGAGGTTAGACGCAGGGTATTAGAAAATCATGGTATATCAGTTGATGAGGTCATGAATCTTCATCGACTGAGATGGTTGGGCCACGTGTTATGTATACCTGAACACTGAGTAACACGACGCGCAATGCTGACTAGTGTTGGGAATGGTTGGAAAGAAGTTAGCAGCGGCTAAATTAAAAAGTGATATCAGTCCATATAGTCACTAACTTCTGGTCTAAGTCATGTTGATAGATGCAGACTACTTGGTTGGAGTCGGCGTGACCATCGTAACCAATGGTTGGAGACTCTAAGTGACATGGCTCAGAATCGATCACAATAGCATAAGTGTATACACTCTTTATCTTCCCTTAAACTATGAGATTAAAATTATTTTATAGCTTTCTTTCTACGAACTAATTCTTTCTTCCTGTATCATATCCTCATATGCAATCATTTTTATAAATTACTACCACGGAAGTGACTGCTTCTTTGAATTTGGTGTTCATCTTGTTATGACAATGAAGTATGACGACATGGACCGATGCATATTTGTGACTGGTTCTACGTTGTAGATTGTTAACTGACTGAGTGACAGCAGAAGGCCAAGAAAATTGAGTTTAAGAGAACATATAAGGAAATATAAACGAATTGTAAACCGGAAGAAACATGCGGAATATGAAGGTCAAGGGATGGAATTTTGCAAATGAAGTATTCAGTGTGTAGACCTCATATTTTACCAAGATAATCTGTAATTCCCCTAATTTGGACAATATAAGCATATATCTTCATTAAATTTTTTGAAGGCGCATGATTAGTTAGAGTGGGAACGATCTATCTGCTCTAAATGATGTTTGTTTAGAAATGATATTACCATCATCATGTAGGACTCATAATGAGCTACTGCTCTACTTCCTTCTACGATTGTAAGTTATGGAAAATAAATTGAAAATTACAATCAATATATTACTTTAGAAATCTTAGGGAACTGAAATAGGAAACATAACCAAGTTTGTTTTAATTTAAAGTTCAGTAGGATTTTGTGAAATCCTCTTTAATTAACGTCTATTGAAGAAGTAATTTTTATCTCTCTTTAGAAGCGGCATATATCAATCCCAGTCTTGTTCGTCTACAGAAGTTAATCATGCAGTTCTAATTGTTGGATACGGAGAAGAAAATGGTGTACAATATTGGACTATTAAAAATAGCTGGGGCACATCTTGGGGAGAAGATGGTTATGTGAGAATACGTCGTAATTATAACAACATGTGTGGCATAGCAACTATGGCAAGTGTACCGAAACTATAGATACACTTGTCAAATTATTTTAATAATTAGTAAAGTGTTGACTGATTCTTTATTCAGTACTAGGAAGTTTTTTGCTTGTGTTCAATCGAATGCATTAATTCTACAATCATAAAAACTAATAATACTACAAGGTTCAAAATATTCGCTATTGTAAGAACATTGTTTTGTAAGAGTGACGGTACATCATCTAATATTACACCATATTTGTGGCAGTATACCTGTTCCCGTTCCCGAATTTGATTATTATTTTTATGGTTACCATAACCGTACATTTTCCATGCAGTTTTCATTATCTTTGATGAAGTTCTTGATTTACTTGAAAGGCCTGTTTCCTTCAACGCATTGTTATCAAAAACAGTGCTCAACATTTCATGAAATTCCTGTGCATTTTTTTCAAGTTTCACTGTTGTGTGAATAATTAGAAATCATGGCTTCTGGAAAATTCCAAGTGCTTTGATCAGAAGAAAGATATAAATGTATTGCTATTAATTAATATTTTAAATAAGATAATGGTTATATGAAGTCATATAAAAAGTTATTTTATGACCAAAGTTCTCGTATGTATTCGGCAGAATAGCATATACGATTTTTAAAATTCTACTCATAAACATTATCACTAACTATTATCAAGTTATCATGTCTTAAACGAAAAACCATGGAATTATCGGCGTTACTTTTCCAAGCTGTTGTATTATATTACTACTGATAGTCCTTCCACCTTTCACAAACTAGTCTTGTAGATGATTATTTCATGTAATTATGTTCCTATCACTTTATTCGTATTAGATAGTACATTTTCATAGTACACTCATAATTACTATTCACAAAAAAGGCAGTATAATTATTCGTGGAGTAAATTTCTTAATTAGGAATCTAGATTAGATAGGAAAGTATGTTAACAAAACTCTGTCAACTAATATTATTCGAAAACAGTTGAATTCATGAGACGATATAAGCTAGACCACCATTAAAAGCCTGGAATCACTGAACGGCAGTTCTGTTTGAGTACAGGACTCTTCAGCAGTGTACATCCAGGACCCCGCATTCGGTGCTTGAACCCAGGCCTCCGGTCAAGTGTGAGGACGCTTAACCTCTGGACCACTGGGCCGGTATCCAACAGTGTTAATGTTTAACTTCAATCGATCTGTAATGACTTGACTTCGTTAATCAATCCCCTTTGTAAACGTTATTGTATAAATCCTAGCGCTGTTTAAAATCAGAAGGCAATAAGGAGCAGCAACTACAGTTTATTAGCGGATAGCACAGACCACAAAGCTGTAAGCGCATCGAGCGAATTGGAAACGGAGAGACGAATGTGTGTCTGAAAACAAATACAGAGGTAAATTTATAGTCAAATGGAATAAGGCGCAGCTAGGAAAGGCGAAGACTAATAATAGTATTCGCGTATCTATATACATGGGTAAGAGATGGGTTCATCGAGCGATATTTAAGCTACCAACATTTTAGCTCGAGTCTATCATGTGATCTAGCACACACAATTACACAGATATGATAGTGAACATGATAATAAAAACAAATATGAGAATGTTACTGTTCGAATAACATATTCTGTTAAGTTAGTAAAAGAGCTTAACCAAAGTTTAACCATAATCGAAATTGATTGTAAGAGAGTTGCTATAGTCCCATGATCTTGTGCAATCTTACCACAATCTCCACAAATCTTCATACTGATTACAGTCATGTGCTCACTAGTGACCAGTGGAATCAAACCCGTGTCGTATGTGAGACAGTTTTCTGCCTCAGACAATGGATGAAAGGTAACGAAGGATCATAGGTTGACTGAATTTAGACATTGATACCGTTAGATGTCGGCTTAGTGGTCTACAGCTTAAGCGTTCTCATGTGAAACTGGAGGTCCTGTGTTTGAACCCCGTGTAAAGTGTCGTAGGTGCCTACTACTGAGGAATCTCAACGGTTAAAATACTACAGTTTCCACAATTCTCCATACTGATTATTGAAAAATACTTTTTGATGTAATTAAACTAAATAAACTCAAACCTAGAACTTGTTTACTTCCAACAAGTCGATGCTCAAAGTTTACAAAACATTTATATGCTGGGATGAAAACAAATAAGAAATAATTTAAATTGAAATCGAATAAATTGCTTTGTCACTGATATTTTATTGGTTTAGGAATTATTTGCACATTTTTGACATTTATATTCTGTTGTTCAAATACCTTGGCTTAGTAGGAAACTAACAGGGTGGGTTGCCTCATATAATAAATATAAAACTTTCAAAGGCTGTCATAAAGATTACGATGCTTTATGACTGTGTTTTCTGTGGACAGTCAAATTGTGTGCAACCAGTGTACAAACGTTTACATTTATTCATACGTTGACAGAAAGCTGTTGATGATTAGAACAGGCTTAAGACCATAAATAGTACTCTTACATTTTGTTCACTTTAGAAAAGACTAATGAAAGGAGTGCATATGGACTAGGTTGAAATTATCTTTAAATGATTAGAAGACGAAACATCTTTCTTAGTGTGCTGAATTTCCAACTTTTGTTCGTCTCAATAGTAATAGTTCGATACTCTGCCATTTTTTAAAAACCAGTTTGGATGCCTCCTCGAGCTCGTTATCTTATTAAAATACTTCGTCACCACGATTACTTAATTTATCAGTTCCAACATTCTTCACATTTGGGTTAGAAATCGCTGATCACATGTCCTGATTAGAAACGTTCCTTTAACAACAGTATTGACTATCTATGTGTTAAGTTATGTGTTTTCCAGCCACTACTCTGGTTATTTATTTTCGACCATGAATTATTGACCCAGTATAGAGTTTCAATTGAATATCCGGTTCGGTGGTAATGTTGTCTGTATTCCCGGTAATTTTGTCGCATTAAAGTAGTGTAGTGGAGTGCTTCGTTAATCGATCGTCTTGATAACCGTTATTATGACAATCTGAACGGTGTATAATATCAGAAGACAAAGGGAAGCAGCAACTACATTTTTATTGATAAATAACATGGGCTAGAAGGCAGTGAGCACATTAGCAAATGTAAGCAAGCGAAGGAAAGATGACGCAGAGTGGAGATGGCTGGGAAGCCAACTCGTTATAAGCAAGCATTAATCAACATTTATAGTCAGACTAAAATGAATGACACACATGTGATAGGTAGGATAAGAAGGGTGCATACACATACGCTCATATAAAAAAATAGTCAAGGTCAATAAGCGAATAATTAACAAGATCAAAATATGACTCATAACGTTATAGGTGAATTGGCTTGTCCAGAAACTAGAATAAGCTATGTAGGTGTAATATAGTACACGACGTTACACTACTCCCCACATAGCTCCCCCCAGAGTGTCCGGAGGAAACACTGTTATGCAAAATAAACAAGGGGGAGGAGGTGTATATGCGTTCACAAACCAAAATTAAAGTATTAGCACAATAATTTGAAAATAACACTGAAATGGCATGTGGATAACGTTAATAATATGTAGAGAAAAAAATTGTACTATATCGAATAAGTTACAGTGTCAATGGAGGGGCGAGTTTATTAAACGAAAGTGTCACACTTATGTGAAAATGTACATGAAAATTGTCAAAATGAGGACAGAAATGGAAATGTTAGCATGTGATTATGAGTAAATTAGTAAGCGTACAAAAAATTTAACATGCATTTATGTTGTCACTGTCCGGATGATAAAATAACATGTTTGTATGAGCAATTCGAAATATCGTGAAAATAGAGCAATAAATTGTTTATGGGTATGACAGCGGAATAAATCGTGGAAATAAGTAATTTAGAATATAATAGAAATTGGTCTGTAGTACCGACTGAATATGAGAATAAAGAACAGTGAAATATGATGTTCTGATAAGTCGCAGTAGAGTAAATAGAGTCGCTTAGCGATGAGTGTATTCGAATTTACATAACTGAAGTTTATGTGAGATAAGAAATAATCCAGCCGTAGGAAGATGACTGCATCAACAGGTGGTATTCATTGCTGTACTGCAATTGATTATGATAATAAAATGCGAAATCAGCGTGCGCTAACGCTTGCGTTGAGTTATGGTTAAATATGTATTAGTAGAATGACCAGAGGAACAGGATAGTGACTGCTTAGACGAGATATGCGGAGTCGTATTCCTTTTTGGTCTAGAAGCCTAGCGCGGTTTGTGTAGTTAGAGGGATATGCGCTCAACCTCATTTGTTACGAAACCGTTTTAAGGCATGATAAAAATACCAATACATATGATTGTCGATGACAGCGAGTGAGACTGACTTGAATGAAACGAACAAGAGTGTATCTTTGAGAGACCAGCTCTAAACTCTATGTTCTTGTATACCATGCAATGGAAATAGAATACTAATTGCAGTAACCAAATATTTTTGATGCGTAATAGATGATGCAGCATTCAGATATACATGTCGATGAATAGATAATATGAACATAATCATTACTAATCGGCTGGTAATGTGACGTCGAATACTCGATTTGTGTATAAACATTAAAGTAGGGATCATCGTGAAACAAAAATTGCGGAAGTTCGGTTTAGGTTGTCGCTGAAAGTGTAGGAGACGACGATTGCTGCGTACCAATAAGATGAATGAACATTAGTATTCTATCGAGAACATAAGTTCTTACTATCGGGAGTATGACTCCAAACTTATGTCTATGATAGTGTAATATTAAGCTGAAAATGACATGAAAAAAGATTGGGACGAACTCACTTGAATCAGGAAAATTGTACGTCATTGGATAATAAAAATAATCCAGTGAGTTTCGAATATCATAACGTGTACTGTCCATATCATTATAATTTGTTCGATTAGTGATATGACTGCGTAAATGTCATAGTTTAATGTCAATACGAACAAAAATAATAATTCCACGTTAGATGATAATATGACATTATTGTAATAATGAGCATATGATGATTATTTGAATCATAACGGAATATGTCGTCGACGGTTCCATTTTTGGTTTGTGTTCGCTCGTTGCGGTCGCCAATTCTGTTGCGTGTTCCAAATACAGCTCACAAATATGTTGAGTGTTCGTACGGCAAGGCATCCAATTTCGTTACGAGTTCGCATCTCGGGCTAACCAATATGTTGTGAGTTCGTACGTTGAAGTTACCAACTTTGCTTCGCGTTCGTAATTCGGGATCGCCAATATGTTGCGTGTTCGTACGTCGGGATTACCAATATGTAGTGGAGTGCTTCGTTAATCGATCGTCTTGATAACCGTTATTATGACAATCTGAACGGTGTATAATATCAGAAGACAAAGGGAAGCAGCAACTACATTTTTATTGATAAATAACATGGGCTAGAAGGCAGTGAGCACATTAGCAAATGTAAGCAAGCGAAGGAAAGATGACGCAGAGTGGAGATGGCTGGGAAGCCAACTCGTT